GGGAGGCTGAGGCCCTGTGGCCTCCAGGGGAGGCTGATAAACTGGAATGGACAGGGATGGAAGATCCAGAACAAAGTGCTCCAGAGCCAGGAGGCAGCATGAAAGATCCAATAGGGGGCACCAACGAGCCCACAGCAGGGATAGAAGACTTCAAAGTAGAAGATGGTGGTGTGGATGGTATAGAGGTCCCGCTGGAAGGACAGGACTACAGCTGCCATGATTGCTCCGGAACCTTGGCCTCTAGTGCAGCCTTTGGTGGGCACCTGCACACCCATGCCACTATGGGCATCCTGGAACCAGAGAATGCCTTGGGCCAGTGCTAAGGCTTCCCGGAGCATGTGGGTGCCAGCAGGCTGGTGAGAAATACTCCAGGTGCGAGGTCTGTGGCCAGCTCTTCAGAGGCCTCCTGTCCCTCGCTAGACATCAGCTGACTCACAGTGACCAATGCAGAGGTGGGCAAGCCTTCGCCTAGAGCTGGCCTTCAGGAAAGCCCAGCGAGGTTTCTCCAACCTGGGAGAACACGGGTAAGAAATGCACTCGGCATGGGACCGCACATGCCCAGTGTGGAGACCCCTTCAGTCCTTGCTCCAGGCCACCGTGGCTGCAGGAGAGCTGTAGCATGCACGTCCCCTTGCTCTCTACGCGGAACAGGGGACCCTGTGAATATTCCAGCCCCCAGAGACCACCCAGTCCACTGTAAGCAGTGTTTCCTGCCACGTAGAGACAGGCAGGTCACAGCCGGGCAGACTTGGACTTAGCGATACGCGGTTCCTGTTTACTCGGCGGAGGTACCTCCCCTGGTACTCGGACTCTTTTTTCATTTTTGGAGGAGGAGAGAGCAACAAACTTATAAATCTTTGTGTCTTAGATCCTCAGAAAGGTTTATTGTGCATTATTTGAACCCCGTCAGTATCTTTTTTACTGGTGTTTTATTCCTTATTCTCAGTCTTGTGAAGCTGTAGATAGGAAAGATAACTTGTCTTTTATTCTTTGCTGTTTGAAAAGGCACATAATTTTAGCTTTCTCCTGCAGCCATTTTGTCTGTACCAAGGCCTCGGGACCTAATGCTTTTGTGTAATCCTTTATAATCTGTGGATTGGCTTTTGTGACCCAAATCAACCCATTGCCACATTGTCTATGCCTATGGTGGTTCTCAAGCAGAAATACCGCGCAGTCTGGGATATTTTGAAAGTTTCTTCTTTTAAGTAAGTCAGTGTGTGTTCACGTGTGAATTTGTAAAACCTGAAGCTTTTCCCTGTGTGTTCTATGCCTTTGCCTTTAAAGAATGGGTGCAGCCATCACTAGACCGGGGTTTTGCCTGTGGAGGTGGTTGAGCATCAGTAGAGACTGTCTTGCTGTAAATACGGAAGCCAGCTGGTAACCCTTCGTCACTTCCACCTGTGCTTCCCGCCTTAAGAGACGAGCCGCAGCGCGGCTCCCTGGGTGGCCAGGAGCTCCTGTTCTTAAATCTTTCCATTGCTAAACATAATGTACCTGTCACACTTTAACCCCATATCTCTTATATTAAAAAAAAAAAAAAATTCAGGGTCCGGGGAGATGGCTCAGTGGAGTAAGCGCTTCCCTGGCAAGCGCAAGGGCCTGAGTTCAATCCCCAGTTCCGCAAAAACAAAAAAACAAAAAACAACAACCAAAAAAGATTCAAAAAAACAAAAAGCTTTCTTTATAATCAACCCAAGCTTCACATGGACTCAGGTTCCCCAGCAGCCTTAATTTGTTTTGTTACCTATGTCCCCCCGTCAGCACCCCACCCCACATGAGGGGTCCTTTCGTGTCGTGCTGGTCAGATCTCCTCTTCCTCACGAGCTGCCCGTGGCTTGAGGTTTCCCGTGGCCTGTTCTGTGGACCACCTGTGCTCCTCCACTTCCTGTCCCTCGCAGAACAGCTACTCAGTACTAACAAGTTTTTGGTCTTGAGTTGGCTGGGGAAAAAAAAAAATTAAAAATCAACAATAAACCTTAAAGCAGATGTCTCCATAAAGCGAGCAGAAGGTAAAGGCAGATCCTTCAAGCACACAAGCTATCCGCCGGGCCAGGTGTGCCCGAAGCAGGGATTCCCGCTCCATCTCCAGACTAGCAGGCAAGGGAGGCTGACGGAAATGCCGCCGGAGGTGGGTACCGGAGGCAGGGAGCCCGGGGTGGCAGGACGAGCTGTGTGGGCTGTCGGGCGCGGGAAGAAGGCATCTGTTGGTGGTGTGGTGTTGAGGAAGCGCAGCCGCATACACCGCCCAAGGTGCGAGTGTGCGTTCGGGCCACCGAGAGGCAGTAACGTTTCCTCAGAAGGGAACTTGAGGGGCGAGTCCACGCTGATGAGTCAGGGAGGATTAGCTGGGCGGGCGAGACTGTTGCAGTGTGGCCACCAGACCTGCTCTGCTCGGAAAGCCCTTGCGGGAGAAGGGTGTCTTTCTATCTGCACCAGTGGAAACAGTTTAAATGCTGAACAATAGAGGAATGATTAGATAAGTATCCCTGGACTCGTATGCAACTGTTTAAAAATGATAATCACGAAGAATTGTCTAGCAGTGCGGAAATATATTTACAGAATATTAAGGGGATAAAGCAGGACAAAATTATATTTATACTACAACTATAGCTTTTAAAATGTACGCTTATAGTCAAAAGCTGTTGTGGCAAAAAAAAGCTGTTGTGTTGTGGGCTTATAGTTCAACTTTATTTTCTTAAATTTCTCAGATACTCATAGCACTGTTGTTACAAGTTAGTGCTCACAGCTCCATTGTGAACATAGTTTAAACTCATTTTCAAACACTTGGAAAATGGAGGGAAAATAATAAAAAATAATCCAGATCTTCACTGTCTGAAGATGTGGACTCTTCAGTATCTTGTTTAGTTTTGTGTCTGTGCACAGGTTTATAGTAATTATAACTGTGTCAACATGCGCATTGAAGCTAATATATTACTCTTGTGAAGTTATGCTTTCATCTTAATTTTTAAAAAATGTTCATTATAATAGTGTCCTGATAACAGTTTCTTCTGTATGTCTTCATTAAAAGCAAATATGTATCTAGAGGAACAATTAGAAAATGTAGTAAAACTAGAGAAGAAAAATTCACCCATATTCACAGCACCCCAAAATACTGGGAACGTTTTGATCTGTTTGCTTCGTCTTGTTTGAGTATACAAGCTTGTGATTATATCAGTGTTAAACATCAGTGCCTGACGTCTAAAATGAAAAGAAATAGAGAACATAATTAGAAGTCTTGGGGCCGGGGAGATGGCTCAGTGGAATAAGCACTTCCCTGGTAATCGCAAGGGCCTGAGTTCAATCCCCCATTCCACCAAAAGAAAAAAAAAGTCTTGTCATGGTGGGATTATAGTTAAATATTTTCTCACATTTCTTGGATATTACTTGGTGTTTTGGTAATAAATTTTATGTATTTTTTTCAGTACAAAAACAATCCATATACATAGAAAGCTTGGAAATTTAGTAAAGCAGAAGAAAATGTTTCACCCATACTTCCAACAGTTACTGTTAACATCTCGATCTGTGCACTGGCTCATTAGGGTGTTAGTGTCAAAGAGGAGACGCCTACAAGCAGGCCCAGGGCCGGGGCTCGAGCCCCAGGGCTGCTGTGCTGCTCCTGCCCCCAGGGCACGCTGAGATGGCAATTGAGACTGGGCATGTTGGTGTGCGCCTGTAATCCCAGCTCTTGGGAGGCTGTAGAACAGGTGGCTCACTATGAGTCTGATCTAGTAGTAAGACCCTGAACACCCTGTACTTTATAGTACAGTAGACCCTGTATTAAAATACAAAAAAAAAAAAAAAAAAAAGGAAAGAAATATGGAAAACCACTGAGAAACAGTTGTGTAGTCATCACGTGATTGTAGTTAAATACATTGTCTCTGTTTGGCTTTTATCTTAGTGCATTGGTAGCCCACCTTTATTCTATACATTTCCATTAGATACATGGCACGTGTTCATGATAGAAACTTTAAAGTTATCAGAATATAGAAGAGAAATTCACCCGTGTTTTCACTATCCAAAGACTGGTTAACAGCCTCTTTCTTTTTGCTTCTTGTTTTTATGAATAGGTTTTTGGTTTGTTAACATGGTTGTGTCCCTTTATCTGTAATTGTGTCAACAATAAAAATAAAATTAAAAGGAAGATATTTTTCAGTCTCTTTTTTGGGTCCATTTTAAGTGTTTTGAGTTATTGAACTCAAAACAAATATTTTTTGATTGAAGTTATAAGTCCAAAACCATACCTCCTTGGGCTTAAAACTGTGCTTAAGGGGCCAGGGAGATGTAGAATAAGCGCTCAATCCCCGGTTCCACCAAAAAAAAAAAAAAAAAAAAAAAAAAAAGATTATGAATATGGGGTTTTAAACATTTGCCTGACTGCATATGACATGACCCCGGCAGAGAGTTATTCTCAGTATTACACAATCTGCCACCATCTCTCTGTCAAAGTTGAGGACAGGGGGCCAGGGAGATGGCTCAGTAGAATAAGCGCTTGCCTGGCAAGCGCAAGGGCCTGAGTTCAATCCCTGGTTCTGAAAAAAAAAAAAAAAAGTTGAGGACAGTTATGCGATGCCCACCAAAGCCACAGAAGTGTTCCACGTGCAGGACCGAGGCGCCAGAATGTTCCTGACTCGGTCCTGACCACCATAAGCGAGTAGTTCAGATCACCGGCCTGAGGGCTGCATTTGCAGAGATACTCCTGAGCAATCTTCCTGAAGGAGTCGGGGTGCCGGTGAGGGAGCTCACTGAAGGGGACTTCCAGGGGAGGCTCAGGCTGGTCCAGAACTGGAACTGCTGGCCACATTGAACGAGCTCTTGCAGACCCTTTCCTGATGGCACTGGTGACACTGCCAAGCAGAAAAGCCTCCTGAGAGGATAGACTTGAGCCGGAGGAGAGCCTGACCCTGGCGTTATTTCTGCCTTTTTCTACACAGGAGTGTTTCCTCTTCTCTCACATGGCTATTAGTAGCTCTTAACACTTACCTGTGACATAATCTAGAGTTTCTCTCATCTAATAAAAATCTGTGGGGGCCGGGGAGATGGCTCAGTAGGATAAGCGCTTGACTGGCAAACACAAGGATCTGAGTTCAATCCCTGGTTCTGCCAAAAAAAAAAAAAAAAAAAATCTGTGACTACGGCAAAACAACCCCCCCCAAAACCCCAAAAACCAAGGATTCATAATTCCCTAAAATAAAAGTACTAATATTAGGGTTTGGAATGCCTGTGTGGAGTCTGTTCCTAACTTTCGCTGCAGCTAAGTGACATTTATCTTCAGGGGAATCATTTCGGTCCAATATTAACCCAACTTCCCCATCAGGAACATCCTGTCAGAATTAATAGATGGTAGTCACATTTTGGAAGGCAGTTTCTAGCGCACTTGTGCTTCCACAGTGACACTGCCCAGCTGAGCACTGCTGGGGACCACAGTATGGTGCAGCGCGCAGCTGCAGCTTCTGTGTCCCTGGTTTTATTGAACCCAGAGGAAGCGGCCTCTACTTCTTTCTGATCCCCTTACTTTGCATGATTGGATTTTGCTCTTCAGGTATAAAAGGCCTCAGAACTTAACATTTATTGACACGGGGAAAACCCGTTGAATTGTGATCATTTCTTGTGAGATGTGTTTTAGTCACAGCTTGGCTGGTCATTCTTTGAAAAGAGGCATCAGCATAGGTCCAGGTGAGGAAGTTGGTCTTCCTTTCTTGTTTTTAATCTGTATTGGTTTGGTACAGGGTCTCACTGCACAGCTTGGACTCAGGGATCCTACCATCTCGGCCTCCCCAGCGCTGGGATTACAGGTGTACACCAACACCCCTGGTTTCAGTGGCTGGCTCAGTGCGCCCAGGGGCAGGGCCAGCATGTCATGCGGTACCAGGGATCAAAACTGGGTTCTTGCGCTTGCCAGGCAGGCACTTCGATCGCTGAGCTATCTCCCTAGACTTCAGATTGGTTACCTGCAGTGTATGTTATAGAAGGTAGTGGAAGGGAATGAAGTAGGTAACAGGTGGCACCGCCTGACCAGCCCTTGCACATTTCAGGGATACATTCATGATCTCAATTAAAGAGGGAGTTAGCTCTCCTGCTATATTTATTTCATGAGATTTGACTTCTCCCTGGCGTAAACCGATTGGTACTCATGGGTTTCCAGTGTCCAGTCAAGATTAAAAAGAAATTAGGCCGGGGCTGGTGAGATGGCTCAGTGGTCTAAAGCACCTACTTATAACAAGCTTAGCAAAGTACAAGGGACCGCGGTTCAATCCCCCAGCACCACATGCCAGCCAGCCCCGCCCCCTGGTGGGCTGAGCTGGCCACACACACGAATAAATAAATAAATATTAAAAAAAAAAAAAAGAAAAAGAAATTAGGCCACCTGGGTGGTCATGTAGTTGAGGGCTGGGTGCAGTGATGAGCAGTCGGACCTGGGAGGAGGTAAGGCCACGTGGCCTGAGGGGAGCTGGGTTTCTGGTGTCTGATCCACTCCAGTGCCTTGTGGTATGAATGTCTGTCCTTCCCGTTCCTATGATGATGTGCGGAGGCAGTTTGCCCACGAAGAGAAAGGTTTACCTTGGCTTATGTTTCTAGAGGTTCCAGTGCCAGATCAAGCAGCCCCATCACTGCAGACCTGTGGCCAGGTTAGCACGTTGCAGCGGGAGCGTGTGGCGGCAGGCTGCCCAGCGCGCATCACGAGGCCAGGGCCCCGAGTCCCCCTCACAGGCTGGTGTGAGGGTGCCCAGCAGGCTGTGCTTCGCAGAGTTGCACGGCTTCCTAATAGTGACTCTGGGGCCTACTCCAAGCCATAGGGGTCATGGGTGGAAGGTGACCCTCCAAGCCATATGACACATGGGTAACACATCTGTTTGTCAAAGAAACAACTCTTCCAAGAGCCCCTGAACGTTAAATCCAAACAACTCCCAATTCTCAGGGGTGGAACATGGCAGGGGGAAGCAAAAGCAAGCAGGCAGGCCAGCTCCTCCCCTGGGAAGGCATGAATGAGAAAGAAGGCAAGGCCAGCACCGCACCCACTGGCCAGACCTGTGACCTCTGAGGTCACCACAGGGCAGAGTCGTGTCCTCAGGGAAGTAAGGGAGGCATCTAGATTCAGTTTCTGTCCCTGCTTGCCCGCTTCTTGTCAGCATCTGTGAGTTCACTGCATGCCTCTTGAACCACTGCTGTGCCATCTTAGCTAGCGGGTGCTTGTAGTGACAATGCCGCGTAAGACTGCGCTGGCACACCCCAGGTGCTTCTGCCACAGCCAGCATTGGCTGGCGCTCAGTCCTCAAGGTCGCTCCTCCACGGCCCACTCACATGCACTCAGAGGAACACTTTATAATTCTCTAGGGATTTCTTACACGCTTCCAAGGAACGTGTCCTGCTCCTTGGAAGAAAACTACCTGGAAACAATTCGATGAATTAATGAATAGCCCTGTGCCTAAGGACATACATGTGAAAATACTTAGGAGGGGAATGAAGGGAAGCCTGAAAATAACTATGAAATGTGCCCAGACAGTAAGGCAGACCAGCCAGAGGACAGATGGACGGAGAGCTGGGCTGAGACGCACAGGGCAGACCCCAGGCATCCATAGGGAAGCCAGGCCAGGGCGGTTCCCCAAGCAGCTCTAACATGCAGGGATGTGCTGTGAAGAAGCGTTCGTGGCTAAAAGCAAGCTTGCTTCTCCTTCCTCAGTCACCTAGCTTGCTCCCAGAGGCAGTGCTTTCTAGTGTCTTGTTCCAGCTCTAGAAAACTCTCCGTATACAACTGTGTCACCATTAACAGAACGCGTAAACATATTTATCGCTCACGTTCAGTATGTCCTGCACATCTAGACTCCTCGATAAATTCCTTCAGTTAAAAACTGCAGATGGCTCCCCAAGCCAGAAGGACATATTGTGTCTGGCTCATGAAGAGAGAACTGTGTGAACCAGAATCACCCTTGCACTCGTTTCTCCGGTTGGGGACCAACTAAAATAGCTTTAATATAGCAGTGTGAATGCTGGTGTGTTCACGCAGCTGCTGGTTGCATTAGATGTAGAGGAAAGTTTAGAAATCTGCCAAAGTGGGGGCTGGGGAGACAGCTTGGCGGTCTAAGTGCCTGCCTGGCAAACGAAAGGACGTGGGTTCGATACCTGGTACTGCATGCTGTGCTGGCCACCAAAATCAGAGGTGGTGGCCCACACCTGTAATCCCAGTGCTGGGGAGGCTGAGACAGCAGGATCACTATGACTCAGAGCTGTGTAGCAAGACCCTGTACTAAATAAATAAATCAATATTTTAAAAAAATTAAAAAAAACCTGCCATAGTGCCACATGTGAGTCTGCTTCACCTTGGTCATTGTGTTTCAGAGAGTTTATCCTGCCAGTGGATTGCGCATAAGCAAAGTCGCTGAAAGTCAAGGGTCTGCATTTGACTTTGGTTATAGAGCAAAGGGCTGGCGTGATGTTGTTTGGATCTTTTTTTCCTTTTTTTAAATTTTGTACCAGGGACTGAGCTCAGGACCTTGTACTTGCCAGGCAGGTGCCTGTTCTACTGAGCTACATCCCCAGCCCTAGCATCTGGATCCAAATGTCCCCCAAAGCTCACATAAAAGGGTTGTTCATCAGCCTGTGATACTGGTGAGAGGTAGTGGAATCTTTAGGGGGTAGGACAGAGTGCAAAGAAGGTAGGTCCTTGGGAATGCGTCCGGGGAAGGGGGCGCTGCGCCCTGGTGCCGGTGCCGGTGCCGGTGCCGGTGCCGGTGCCGGTGCCGGCTCCTCTTCCTGCTTCCTGGCCGCAGGGAGGGAGCATCTCTGAGCCAGCACACATGCCCCGCCCGATCTGCCTGGCCACAGACCCCAGCACAGGGGAGAACAGTGATCACAGCCTGAAGCCTCGGAAGCCAGCAGCAAGGTAAACTTTTCTCTCCTTATTTACTTGGGGCATTTTGTCACAATAGAACACAATGAGGGCTGGCCAGATAGCTCAGCAGAATAAAGTGCTGATTTAGGCAGGCGCGGAGAACGGGGTTCGATTCCCCATGGCATGGCTTGCAGTACCGGTCCCGCCCCCAGGGCACGCTGAGCCGGCTACTGAGGCTGGGCGTGTCGTGGCCTGTGCCTGTCTTCCCTGCGTTGGGAGGCTGAAAACAGGAGGATCACTGGGAGTCTGATCTGTGTAGTGAGACCCTGTACTAAATACATTAAAAGAGAACACAATGTACATCATATACAATTTCATATTTCTGTTATGCTATGCACACCTATGTTTACTATTTGATGATGATGATGATGATGATGATGATTATTACTCAGGATCAGATTCTTGCTATGTAGTTCAGGTTGGCCTTGAACTCACTATCCAGGCACGGACTCATGGGTGATCTCCTATTGGGAAAGGCAACTGGAGGTGAACTAGTCCGTGGTTTACACATGCCTAATCAAATCTCAAGGCTCTCCATGGGACCTGTGTGCAAAATTGTGGCGTCGGAGTGATCTGGGGATGGAGGCTGGGTCCGCTGCTGCCCGGTCATCCTCGTGATATTATTTTTTAAGTTTTATTTTACCTGTGTGTGCGCATGTGCAAGCAGGGCCTCACCGTGCAGCTCGTAGTGCTCCTCCTCTTTTCAGTCTCCCAAACTGTGGGATTAGAGGCATGAGCCCCCCACAGCTCAGTGCTCTTGGGGGTCCGGAAGGTCACTGCAAAGCACAATGGTTGCCTTTATGTGCGTATATGAGGGTAAATATTCGGTGGGTAGAGCACAACGGGGGAGGAATCGTTGTTATTGTCTACTGTTTATTTTCAAAATTCTCAAAGGACTCAGTTCTCCACCGATTGAACACACTCACTTGCGGGAGGAACTCCACAGACCCACTTCCGCCGCCCCCGCTTGCCTCAGGGGGCGTGATCGGGTGCTCTCAGGGGGCGTGGTCGGGTGCTCTCTCAGGGGGCGTGGTCGGTGCTCTCTCAGGGGGCGTGGCCGGGTGGTCTCAGGGGCGTGGCCGGGTGGTCTCGCGGCCGGCTCAGTGCGCAGGCGCAGGTGCTCCAGTGCGCATGCCCACCAGCGGGCCTCGTGGCCAGTTCGTGGCGGAGTCCCGTCAGAGGAGGGTGTCGAAGGCGTTGCGGGAGCGAAGTGAGTGACAGGAGCCAGAGGGCTCCGGATGGCCGGATGGGAATGCGAGGGCGTGAGGCCAGGGCAGGAGGCCAGTAGGGCGGAGGGCGGAGGGTGTGTGGTGGCACTGCAGGGATGGGCCACCGGAGGGTGGAGAGTGGCCATGCAGGGCCGGGCGGCCACTTGGGGGAGGGGTGACGGGAAGGAAGATGGAGGGACGGAGGGGCAACAAAGGGCGGGCTCTGACATCCTCGGTCAGCCTTGTTCTCCTCAGTCAGCCCTGTTCTCAGTCAGTCCCATCTCCCGCCGCAGCCGGCACCCCTCACCCTTCCCGCACCCCGTCAGCCCCGGTCTCAGTCAGTCACTCCTGTCCCCTCCGTCAGCCCCGC